ATAAGGCACAGACTGGGATAAAATCTTTGCAAAGTATATAATTCACTAGGGACTTCTATCTGGGCGATATGACAAATTCTAAAAACTCAACAATAAGATAACATGCAACCCAATTTAAAACCTGTCAAAAGAATTAAACAGATACTTCATAAAAGAAGATATAAGGATGGCAAGTAAGCTCATGAAAAAATGCTAGACGTGATTAGTACAAATTACAACTACAATGAGATACTACTTACTACACATGTATTAGACTATCAAAATAGACCCACACCTTTATTTTCTGACTTTGAACTTGTGTGGAGATGTAAGGTATGGAGCATCTTCTAATTCTGAGAAGAAAGTCAAGAAAATTGTGACGATCCTGATGACTGGGGGAAAAACTGGAAACCAAATCTTCTGCCAACCCAGGAAATCCTCTCCACAAATATAGCAGAGAAAGAAAACATTTTCGAAAACCTTTTTATCATTGGATAAGCATGAAACCAGGCTGCAGTTTGCATCACAGGCAGATTGCAAAGACAGAAATCTCACCTTCCCATATAACCAGACAGATACAATCCATTACATACGTGTTCTGAAGATAAATGATAACTTGTCTGTATGTAAGAGTACTTCCTCCACAGCACCACCTGCTATACATAGTTCATTCTAAATTCACATGGTGATTCGGGTGACCATCTCTGACAAGGGTTAGTTAAGAGCTTTGGAGAGAAAGGCACCTAAGCTAGTGTCCCACAGTGATGGGAACATTGGGGTGCATCTTCCTTGATGATTGCGTTGCAAAGGCAGGCCTCTAGGAGAAACTAAATTGTAAAGCTGGCAAGAGGTTTATTCAGCTTTTAAAAAGATGCACGTACATTTCAGAGGGACAGTTAGTTTTCTCAAGGCAGTGATCTAAGAAGGAAAGAAGGATAAGGTGTTTTGGCACCAGGAAAGATGTAATATTTTATTAACCTTCACAACACCCAGAGCTCTGATAGGGTTTTACTGCTGAATGAACTAGTCTTTGTTACCATCTACCTCTGGGCTTTTTGTTATAGAAGCTGACCCCCACTGTGTATGTAGTTTAGGTATCCTGTATCCTGTAGGCAAAATCATCCTAACTGACTCATCCCCCGAGGGCAAGGAAAATGAATCCCCCCCAACTCCCTTATACCTCAAGACAAAGCCTAAACCATTGCAGTGATCAGAAATATCTGCTTTCTTCAGTTTATCTTTTAAAAAAAAATGCATGTGTATTTTGCATTTGAATTCGTAATATACCCACATTAGTTTTAAGATTTCTCTCTTCCCTATCCCTTCCCCTTAAAAACAAACAAACAAAAAAACTTTTAAGATTTGAGAAAAGATGTGGGAAAGAGCAGAGGGGCAGGTCCTTTTGGAGAGATTAAAAAATGTATGTTTTAATGTATATCTTTTTTTAAAGTTTATTTGAAAGAGAGAGCGTGGTGGGGGGGAGGGCAGAGGGAGAGAATCTTCAAGCAGACTGCCCGCTGAGCGGGGAGCCCAGTGCGGGCTTGATCCCACAACCCATGAGATCATGACCTGAGCCAAAACCAAAAACCAGACGCTTAACTACCTGAGCCACCCAGGTGTCCCAGTGTGTTATCTTTTAGAATATAATTTCCACTGAGTATGTTTCAGTTTCATTTGAATTCTAACCTGTCTGTTCCAAAGACGTTATTGAAACATTAGAAGTATAAATGAAATGGAAGTTTTAAGTAAATTATTTTTCAGACAATCTAAGGGGTTTTATTTATGCGTTACATATACATGTAAATGCAAGCCTTTTTAGAGTTGGAACATTTCCCCATGATACACTGAACATTGCCATTGGTAGTTGTGAAGAAGAATAAATGCGTCATCGAGGCTTGTTTGATAAGTCAACATAAAGGACCAAGTAAGTACATTTTAACTTGGCAGTTGGTTCTTTTAGCCTTACCATTTCTCTTTCGACACTTAAATTTTTCTCCTCAGGTTTGGTTGACTTTTCTTTCTGTAAAACTTGCCTGTTCGGTTACCAACACTTGTGTTGAGATGACTTCTGGCATGACCACCTCCCAAGTACCTTGTCTTTAGATGAGAGAAAGCTAAAAGAGACATACATGAACAACATTTAAAAATAGCCCTAAAAAGGGGTGTCTGGGTGGCTCAGATGGTTAAGCGTCTGCCTTCAGCTCAGGTCATGATCCCAGGGTCCTGGGATGGAGTTCTGCATCGGGCTCCCTGTTCAGCAGGGAGCTTGCTTCTCCCTCTGCCTCTGCTGTTCTCCCTGCTTGTGCTCTCTGGCTCTCTCTGTCAAGTAAATAAATAAAAATCTTAAAAAAAAAAAAGCCCTAAAATGTAAGCCACACATCCATTCAAACTGAAGTACTTAATAGCACCTTTTTATATGCCTATAGGCTTTTGTCAAAACCGTTTGTCATCTATTAAAGCCATAGTTTTAAGAAAATTAATATTAAAGGAAAAAATAGTAGTGTGGTAGCTAATTTAGATTGTAGACTTTTCTCAGCTTTCACAGCAAAGATCACAATTCTCCAGTTGTTCTATTTTTAAAATCCAGGTTAAAAATCTTAAATCAGTAACAGTATACCACGTCCTCGACATCCTCTTCTGAATGTGTAATCCGAAATTAAAAAGAATTGTTTAGCTATATTACTTTAATTTAAAGCATTGATTTTGTTTTAAACTTGTGTGTGTGGTGTGTGTGTGTGAGTACATGTGTTTCTGTGAGTGTGTTTGTGTGAGTGTGTGGTATATGTGTGTTTATGGGAGAGTGTGTGTGTGTGTCCCCGTATGTCTAACCCCTGCTCTCTAGTCTTGCTCCAGACCCGTTGGACCAAGCAGCAATGCTAAAGGTCTAGAGGTATCCTGGAGGTTGGGGGTGGAAGTTGTATTAGTTCCTAGGGCTGCCTTAACCAGTTACCACAAACTTGATGGCTAACAAATTTATTTTCTCCTAATTCTGGAGGCCTGAAGTCTGAAGTCCCTTCCCTCTGAAGGTGTTCCTTGGCTTGTGGCAATAATAGCTTTAATCCTTGTCTCTGGCTGCATGTGACCCTCCTCCCTGTGTGCCCCTGGGCCCAAATCTCCCTCTCCTTTCTCCTGTAAATTACAAATTACTGGATTTAGGGTAGGCCCTGCCTACCCTAAATGATGATGTTCTGTGCAATCCCATGTCTCAGGATGATTCATCTCAAGATCCTGACTGATGACATCCCCAAAGACCCTATCTCTAGATAAGGTCACATTCTGAGGCTCCAGATGGTTGTGAATGGGGGAGGTGGGCACACACTGTTCAACCCACTATAGTAGTATTTAATTAGGTTCCTTTTATTATTTTATTTTAGAGAGTTGAGGGGAGGAGCAGAGGGAGAGGGACAAGCAGACTGTGGTGAGCACAGAGCCCAACGTGGGGCTTGATCCCATGATCCCGAGATCACAACCCAAGCTGAAGCCAAGAGTCCGAGGATCAACTGACTGAGCCACCCAGGCACCCTTAATTAGGATCCTTTTTAAAAATGGTTTAAAAATAATATTCCTAAAAAAGCTAAAACTAATGTCCCTTTTTGTTATCTAAAACTTCCACATTCATTATTTTCTTGACTTTTATAATGTTTGCGTTTACATCAGGTACTCCCATAGCATCCCCCATGGAAAGGAATCATTTTGTGGGAAACTCTTGAATTTTCTCTCACTGTTCCTTCACTCACTTCTCTCTCAAGAAGTGATGAAATTAGAGCAAGCCTGATCCATCAGCCCACATTTAATCAAGAGACATGGGATTGCACAGAACATAGCGCTTCCAGACACGTTTGTGCCCAGAACTCCAAGAGCTTGTGCTTCTGGTCTCCCTACAATAAGCAGACCCAGCAGTCTCTTGCTATATCCAGCCAAGTCTGTTTTTTCAGTTCCAACTTCTCTGCCCATGACGTGGTGGATAAATTTCAAGTCAAGCAGGTCTCAAGGTCTGGGGTCAGGGAGTGAGGTTGGAAGCCCTGTTACTTTCCATTCCAGCTTTACCAGTTATAACATTAACAGGCAGTCCCCATTTACCTCAGGATTGTCTGTTTTTACTTGCTCATCTAAGAACTGTAATGGTAATCAGAAAAGATATTAATGTGCCTATTTTTAAGATAAAGAAATTCAGCAAAGTCACTGTAAAGGAGTTCTTCACCAAATCCTAATGAAGAGTTAGAACCCAGATTTCCTGATTCTCTGGAGTTGGTTTTCTTATGCTCACCTTGAAGACCCCTTTCATAGAATTTAGATTGGAATATGCCCAACATTATAGGTCACAGTTACTGTTTGTGTCAACTCTGTCACTGTTGATTTGTGAGTGACCACTGTGGCTTGCAGTGCCCATGGAGAGGTCGGAAATCCTTGCCTTCATATAAACAATGCTATTACCTATGGAGAGCAGTCATGAAATTCTTAGACCTCCTATTAATCCATAGTGTTTTTGAAACCTTCATTAAACAGTTGGCATTACCTGCTGGAAGAACTGCAAAAACTACTCAAGTATCAGTATATAAAAGTCCTTGCTAGGTCCAGTTAATATGCTAGTTATTTCCTTCAGTGTCTGTTAATAAATGTGAATTAATCGATTCCTACTTGTACTCTGAGCTCTGTAAGCTGCCAAAATAGATGATTAATCTTATATGTGACTTTTAAAAGAATGTCTGTGAAAAATCGTGAAGTGGTTTGTTTTATGCCATTTTACAACCTTGTCCTATGTGCTTCCAACATGTATGTGGACTTTGTTAACTGTCTTACATCAGAAGTCTAGTTGTGCATCTCCCTGCATTTTCTTATGCACTGTACTATTCTAGAACACGTTATTAATGTTTTAGATCGTGTGAGTGAGTTTCATTCTGTGATGTGTTTTTCATCAAACCTGTTCAAAGTAGGTTATTGGTTTCCTCTGCCACTGTAACTAGATCACTTGATCTCGTTGAATTCTAATTGAAGCTCATTTCTCTCCCTTTTATTTTCAGATATTTGTATCTGCTGTTCTCCAGTGATGACCTTTTACCTTTAGACCACTGGGTATTCAATACAGAGGCTCATCCTCTGCCCGTGTTACATTTAGCCAACACCACACTTTCAGGAAATCCTGCTGTTCGATGAAAGCAGCTCCAGAAAGACCATTCTCACCTGTGTTTTGTTTACATGGATTACTACAGAAATTAGTCTGGAGAGGGGGCTTTGGGAAACCTGGACCTCATAAGTCACCATGGCAGGGTGAAACATGACTATGCCCCACAGGACTTTTCAACTTGTAGATATCTCAACTTTGAAATGATTCCATTTTATACCTGACCAAAATATATTCTGGTATGTATAAGACAAAGACCTGGTATGCTTGGATTCTTAAAGAGATGGTCACATGGGAACTTTTGCCTGTTACTACTATATTGTTTTTAGAGTCCTGGAATCTGGAGTCTAGACTGCCTAAGAATAAGCCAAGAATGTGGAGCACCTTGTGGGAGTGAGAGATGGCCTTTGGAACCAATTATATATGTGTTCCTTCCAAAGCGGAGCTGCTTTCAAATCAAATATTTACTTATCGTTTCTCCCACTTTTCTCCATTTTTAATAATGGAAGGAACTAAAACAAAAGAACGGTGGAACTGCATCAAGAGCAGTGAAGACTGGAAAAAGAAACCCAAGTACCTGTCCCTGTCTCAGTTTCTAGTTCCCCATTGGACGACCAGACTGGCAACCATTTCAGATCCCAGTGTATTCCATTGAAATTTCTTGGTTAAATTTAATTTTCTCTAGGGGCATGATCTCACAAAGAATACTCTTCAAGTCTTTGTCTCCATATGGAATCATTGAAACTGCTATTTATCATAACCACTACTTATGAGCCTGGGTTTGGGATTTTGTGCATGTTGATCAGTCTAGTGTGGTAGCATGACCAAAAGTGGGGGAAACGCTGCAGTTTGTCACCTTGAAACCTGTTCTAAGAGAAAGCCTTGGTTTTGTTGGGAGATTTTTTTTTTTTTTTCCAAATCAGCGAATCTACCAAGTGAATTTTATCCACTTTAACCTTGTTATAAATTTAGTAAAATCCCTCAACTTACAACTTTATGTAGCTTGGCAGAATTCACTATACTATTATGCAGCTCTGAATTTACCCAAATTTCTTTTACAACCTATTAAATCAAAAAACAAAATACAGTGAAACTTAAACATTCTATCTGGAATGGGAACAGGGGATCCTTTATTTATTATCTTGTCAGATGAGTGAGCTTTTCACAAATATTTTATGTAAAAAATAAAATTCAGCTTTTATTTTCTGAAAGGATATTTATAGAAATCCAAAGAACAGCTTCAAAATAATTTTTAGCAAAAAAAAAATGTATAATTAATCATATTAACTATATTTGGGATATATCTAAGGGAGTTTCTCTTACCATCAATAGATTTTACAGTGATATTTATTTTTAAAGAAATTACTATTTCTTTATATTTGGGGGAAGAACTTAAATTTTATCAAGAACTGTATTGTAAGATAAATATGCTTATAAATTTTCTGTCCCTTAAATTCATGTCACAGTGCAAGACACTTTTTCTTCTTTACATTTAATACAAACGGCTTCCATTGACAGTAAAAGTTGGAAGCAGTATAATTAATCTGATATTTACTCTGAATTTAAAGATTTCATGAACAGTGTTTGGAGAAGAAGCCCACCTTGGATTCTGAAGGCATATTTCTTATTTTGATAGCTTTTCTGTTTAACCTTTTAGCATGTAGTAGATTTAAATTGGAGAAAAGATTTAATAAATTAATATAATTAAGTATTTTCTACGGGTTATCATCTTATGTCACCAAGAGTCAGACAATCCTCACAATTTAGCAAATGATCCCCAGTGTTTTCAGTATACCTAGAAAATAAGAATGTGGAGCCAGTGCATTATTTAAGTTTTTAAGAGAGTTGAATTTTAGCACACATTTTGAAATTGTAATATCTTTTACTACTTGAAAAATAAAAATTTTTAAATGAGAAGGATAGATGACTAACTTGAGTAAGGAAGGGTATTTTGTTCTCAAAAACATGTTAGCCTTCCTCCTAAAAATAGTGCAAGCCCACTTATGAGTCACTAAAATGTGTGAATAACTTGAGGTAGCAAAGAGCCACTGGGTAGCCAGCCGTGAGCCCACGTGCACTTTGTTCAGAAGAGTGCAGAGTAAAGGGGCCTTCTTGGTCTCCCAGGAGCCTCTCAAGGAAGGAGAAGACAGAGCCCCCACCCACAAGTGCTCAGTTTCTGTCTCTGGGCTGACTGGGGCTTAAGAGGAGGCAGAGAGGTGCCCGAGCATGGCCAGTTCTCACACAGGCAAAGAATCTGAGAGGGGCAGAGGAAGGGTCTTCTTCACCACCCGCTCCCTTCCCTGTGATGAAAGAAGACTAGTGCTTATCACAATGCTTCCATTGTTTTTTTCTCTGAATACCAAAGGCAATTAAAGTCAGCTACAAATGACTTGCCATTGTCATGTTTTGTTTTGTTTTTACAGATTTTTAAAATTATTTCCTCTAGGATCAATCCTTATCCCATATTTACTTAGTTTCCAAGAGTATTTACTTTCTTCTGTCCCTTACCGTCCTTTGCATTTTATAGGCCTATTACTCAAGTTAAAATACTCACCACACGTATAAGACCTTTGCAAAGAACCTAGAGATGCTCCTTTCCAGGTGCCTCATCAGAGAGCTGACACCTCACTTTGTGCCTTTGGCACAAATGTGCTGAGTAGATAGATCAGTTGGTACATAAAAGAAAAGAAAAATAGAGATGTTGAACACCCCTCTACCTTCTACATTTCTCTTTTAGAATTTTAGAATCACATTTTTTGTTGAAACCGGTCTGAAGTTGTTAAAGCCAAGCGAATGCAGCCCTAACCAAAAAGTCATCTCTGCAGAAAAATAAGACCCCAGTCAGAGGGTTCTTGCTTTCTGGTGGGTTGCATGTACGTGCTGTTTTGTGTCTGACACCCACTTACACCTGTCTTTGAGCAGATGTTTATATGTAACAGTGAAGCCTGGATATTGGAGGAATGTGTTCCTTTTGTGGATGTTGACCCTCATTACCTGTGACGTTAGCTAAGGCACCTTTGGGCTGCCCTTGGTAGATCTTAACCAAGCAGTTTGGAACTGTGACCATTGGCTTCTCATCTCCACTCTCCTTTGCCAAAGTCTTTGTCCGAGCTACAGATTTGTTGATAAAAGATTGTGCTTGCCATTCTCGTTATGCAGTTTCTCCTTCCGCCTGGATTTCTGTGAATGAATGCACGAGTGAATGAGAGAATGAGTGAACAAACATGGAGTCCCTAATATGTGCCAAGCGAGCATTGTGCTAGGCATGCACTCTCAAGCATTAGAACATTTGTGATTCCAGTGGCATTTTATGTGTAAGAGTAATTCATACCATTTTAAATGTTTTCCAGTATGAATTATGTTACAAAATCCTTAATTTTATATTTCATTTAAATTAAAGAGGAAAAGAAATGGTTTATAATATATTTTAAGCAATGTGTTACTATATAATACTAACAGCTATAATTGTTAATAACTAAAGTCTCTTGGAAAATGTCAAAGAAATACTTGACTTCTGATGCAACTTTGACTAAAATATTTGCTTTAGAAATAATTAAAAACATTCTTTTGCTATATCACTTTAATTATATAATTAAAAATTAATGTTTTATAGAAATGCTGGTTATTTTATATTCAAAAAATTTTGTCATGTAAGTCATGGGTAAAATCTGCAGTTGTAAATTGTTCTTGTTCTGTAAATTGTTCACTTCTGCTAAGTGTCCTGCTCATGGTCCCATGCTGTTAAATATAAAGAAAAATATACTAAAATATTTCTCAGTTCCAAATAACAAGTTTCTAGTAATCGTATTTTGAGTTATTTTTCTTTAGGTCTCCTTACCTTCAAATTGGCTAGCTCATATCTTATCTGTTCTCTACATAGATATATACATAAATACAATTATTCACAGATTTTTAATATTGTCTGTGTTTGTTAACAAACACAAACAAACACAGTTGTTAACTAGTTTTGGCTACACAGATTGTAAGCAGAACGGTTGAGTTAGCCAAATATGATCTGGAGATATTTTAATTGTACTTTTCTGGTTCAAGGACACAGGTGAAGATGATTTTCTGTTGCTTCCGCTCATTCAGATCATGATGGAAACATTCTTTGATCTCTAATGGGTCAGCAAGCTTTTCTGTAAAGGGCCAGATAATAAATATTTTAGGCTCCGTGCATCATACGTGTCCTATCTCTACTACTCAGTTCTGCCATTGGAACATGAAAGCTGGTATAGATGGTATGTAAACGAAGGGGTGTAGCTGTGTTCCAACAAAACTTTATTTACAAGAGCATGGAGAGCTGGATTTGGCCCATGGGTCGTAGTTGTTAACATTTTACCCCAAGTTTAATTTCTGTAAGACCCTTATGTAATCTCTGATCAGCATCTTTTCTCTGTGTTTGAGTTACGTAATTCATTTTCAAAGCAAAAAGATGGTGTGTATGTATGATTGTATGGATTTGTGTAACCTAAAGCTATATATTTTGTCTTGAAAATAGATCTACTCTTCTGGAGTCTGTTCAGGTTTCAATCTGATACAACTGTCATGAAAGTGGCATTTTTTGTTGTTGTTTGGGGGGTATTCTCTCAGCCAGTTTCCTTGCCTTGTCATTTAATGCCACAATTCCAGACTCCCCATATGAAAAGGAGGGTCTCTGTGGTGTCAAAATACTGAGTCTCTCCAAGTTCCGCCTGCTCGTTGATCTTTGGACCAGGACTCTGGCTTGCTGGAGCTGCAAAACTCTTCCACTTGAATACTCTCAGATCCCTACAACGAGAATATAATAGAATCTCTAACCTTCGTGCTGCAAAAACCAATCTCTTGAAAAATTTGAAGCAACAGAAAATGGGTTATGTGCCTCATTTGCCATTTGGCAGCCACTATTCCTTTTTCAGACTGCAGAACGGTCCTGCCTCTGTTACCTCGAGAACAGCCTAAATCTGAGTGCAGAGAAAAGATACATCCAAAAGGAGAGTTCCCTTTTCTCTTACTGCATAACTTGCCTCAAATCCTTTACAAGTCCGTTGCATTATTTCAGAATGTCAATATGCATCATATTTAAATTAAAGCATCCTTCAACGTCAGCCTTACTTTTCCACTGTTGAACAGCTAATCTCTTTTAAACTTTGCTTGAGCCCAGCAGCACTCGTGAAATTACTCTGAGTTACACGACACCATATTACTAGTATACACGTTGCAGTGTACCAGTCATCGTGACTGAGAGATTTTTCACTAAGAAGTGTATCAAATAGGCATTTCATTCTTTGTGGAAATTCTAGAGGAGGGGAACCCTGTAAATGAGCTGCCTCTCTACGTCCCCCATATGCAGAGAGCTTCAGTTCGGTGTGGTTGTAAGTGTGAGCACACAAACACAGAAACCCACATCTATACATGTTAATATGCACAAGATTTTAATCGCAAACATCCTGCTGCTATTGAATGCTACAGAATTCTATGGCAAATTGCTTACCAGGACACTCTGTGGAGATAAGTTCAGCTCGCTCTTGAGAAAAATTATTTCTTAGAAAACAAATTAGTTTTTGTTGGCTTAATTAAATAAGGTATCCCCCGTTTTAATTACTAGATTTGATTGATTTGATTACTAGATTGAGGAAATTGAAATGCCATTCCTCAATCTCACTGGTCTGAAATTCACTGATAAAATTTTTCCCTAAACTAGTAAGTGGGGTAAGTATAACCTCCTAGATCGGTACCCACTGGCCGCTCTTGAACTGATTTCCAGTCATGTCCTCCATATGTAATTTTTATAAATTAAAGGTAATATTGTATATTAAAGATCAAATAAAGATGTTCCTTAAGTGAAAGTCTTTGTTTATCCTTCATTTGTACCCACTGATGGCAACAGAGTTCAATCTTCCTACTTACATGACAACTTCGGCTTTTTTTATAACTGGTAGTCTTCAGTCTCCTACCTTCAGAGAGTATTTCTTTTGATTCAGCTGATGTTTACACTTACCGGTTTATTGATTTTTTTTTAAAGATTTCTTTATTTTGGAGAGAGAGCGCACTTGGAGGGGAGGGGCCGAAGGAAAGAAAGAA